TACGTGGTGCGAGTGCAATGAAGCTGCTCGTGTCGGGCTCGGCACTCCTGGGTGATCGCAGATCATTTCGCTTGGCAGGGCGTGCAGGAGAGCAGAGCCAGGCTTCCGCAATGCCTGCAAACAGGAGCACAGGAGGCAGGGCTTTCCAAACCTCCCCTGGGACACAGGGGCAACCCCTGGTGGGTTTTCAGGATACCCTTGCCTCTAAACCCACACGCTCTCCAGCCCATGATCTGCAGGTGCCTTAGCATGCAGAGCAATGAAAACCTGGGTGTGCATCGGATTGCTGCCTGAGCAAGGAGCATCCTTCGAGGAGAGCAGCTCCTGCTCCAGGACAGACAGAAAGGCATCTGCTGGGCTGCCTTGGGCAGCACCACCCCACAGCCAGGGGTTTGTATTTTCTCACTCCCCCCCTTCAGCCTCGATTTGCCTCACCCTGGTTTAAAGGATGATTTGCAGCTTCAAGCAGGTGTTTGAAGCAGGCTGAGTGCTGTTATGAATGAAAAAATAAATCCTGAAGCGTTCTCCTCTGGGAAAAAAAAGAGAAGCTGTTTTTTATTAGACCAGAATCGCACTTTGGACCTGCTTCTACACCATGTTTTATGTTTAGCAAGCGCTGCATAGGATTAGCTAGTTAATTAATACTTAGTATTATCCTCACAGATGGAGAGAGCTTCTAAGAACTTAAGGTAAAATATTTTAGCAATACAGATTTGTGCCAACCTAAATTTACACTCCTAAGCATAATGAGATTAGTAACAGGAAAAAAAAAAAAAAAAACACAAAATGAGAGTAATAAAGCACAGATCCTTTTATGTACATACCAGTCTTTGTGCCTGTAAAGGTGCCATTTTCACACTGCACCAAGAAGAGGTTTAAGCACAACCTTTCAGGTTTAATCCACACAAACCCATCAGCCACGGCTCGAGGAGCTGCAAGGGAGCAACGTGGAACAGAGGGGACCAGGGTGTGGGAAAAGCACCCAAAATGGGGCATTTCCCTGCTCCAAGTCAGACAAAAATCCCTGAAAAGGGATCCAGACCAGGCCACTCAGTGTCCTGCTTTGAAATACTTATTTTCACACCAACATTTTCAGCTACTTGCAGAAGTTTCAGTTAAACTGCTTTGATGGAGATCAGGTTTTAAAGGTTGCTTCAAGTATGAAGAAAAAAAAAAAAAGATTTGCACTCAAAAAAAAAAAAAAGAAAAAATACAGGATCTGGCTCAGGTTGGCTTGGCTTTGTGGTGGCACAGAGAGGATCTCCAGTGCTCCTTCCAGCCTGAATCTTGCCCTGTTTAAGTGGGCTGTTTTAAAGCCATTTGAAGTATTTTCTAAAAAAGCCTTCTCCAAAGTAGCCTGTTTGACAACAGTTAAATATAAACAGTAAAAGAGCATTTCAGCTGAAAAATGCCATTCAGCTCGGGGTGGGCACTAACTTCACACACTCCCAGCTCAGCTGCAGCTTGCCCCCATTTGGCTGCTCTCCCCCAAAATTGCACAGCCCTTGGCTTGGGTCCTTGTGCAGCAGCCCTGCAGCACACAGCAGTGCCTCTGCAGCCCCCAAATTCTTCCCCAGGTGTTTTGGGAAGAGAAAATCCTGAGCATGGATTTGAGAAGGGAAACCAGACACGGCTGAACTTGCTCTTTCATGAAGCTTGCCTGGGCTAGAAAATTAAACATGGGGAGTGTTGGTAACCCTGCTGTCACACTAGGCAGGGCTAGGGTCTGGCCAAGCCCTGGAAATGCTGCCCAGGTGTATATGGGCTGCTCTGGTGTTTGGGGCAGTGGTAGCACCCGGTGTTCCCATCTCCCAGCCCCGGATCTGCACCTGGCGAGCAGCACGAGGCTCCAGCACCATCCTGCTGGCAGCAGCCCAGCTCCCAGCTGCACAGGTGCATGAGTCACCGCTCTCCTCCCAGGCTCTATTTCTGGCTCCCCACATGCACAACAGGATCAATAGCTGCTCTGTCAACAGCCCCTGGCTTTTTCCTTCCCCAAAGTAACCCCCATCCATGGGGGGAGGAGATGCCCACGGTGACAGTGCTGCCCCAGCCCTGCAGCTTTGCTTGTGGGGAGAGGAGCTGTGGGGTCAGGGCTACAAGCTGGTGTGGACAGAGGGAGGAATGCACATCTATCACCTGGGGCACGGCTCCAAGGACAGCATACAAGCATCTCACCTGGAGCCTGGGCAGCTGAATTAACACTGCTTCTGCTACATGATGTTATTATGGCAAACAGATTGCTGGCAGCCTGGCAAAGGCAAAAAAAATTAAAATCTGGGAACTGTATTGGGAAGCTGACAACAATCAAGCCAGGGAAGCAAATTGCTGGGGCTCCACTGCGCAGCCTGAGAGGAGCAATGCTGGAGCAGCCCGACCCCTCTCCCCACCACGTAGGGGCTTTTCCTGGTCTGCTGGTGCACAGCAGCACAAGCAGCATCCCCAGGCAGCCTGCAGCTCCTGGCTTTTCCCCCCCAGCCCCAGAGGCAAAGCAGCTCCTGCCTCGGCCAGGGGCAAGGAGGCTGCTCCGTGCCCGGCCAGGTGGGCACTGCCTGCCCAGGGGAGTTCCCAAAGGGCAGCTTCTCCTTCGATCCTGGGCAGGGGAAGATGATGCTTTGAGCAGACGCTTCCCGCAGCCTCCCCAGCTGTGCAGGATTATCATCTCACTTGCACCTTAAAATAGACCAGAGAATTTGCCTCGCTCGCTGCGTGTGGAGACAGCGATAATTAGAACAAAGAGGAGCCTGAACTTCGCAGCGATGGGAACTTCGGTGGCGAGAGAGCGCATTGGCAGGAAAATCAATCCGCAGTGAAAAGGGGGAAGAAAAAGCAAGGCGCGAGGCTGGAGCTGCTTCAATGAGGCTAACAGCACGCCCAGCTGAACGAGGGGCCCCCAATTAGCTCAGATGAAGCAGAGACTGGCAGAAGATCTGCTGGGGAAAAATAAAATCTGACCTAGCCAAGACATTTTCGAAGATGGCATCAGCGTGGAGAGCAGCTGCGGCCCCATCCTGCTCCCAGCTGGTCCCAGCAGCAGGAGATGGCTGGGCACCAGGCAGGGCATCCCTGGGGGAATAACTCCCTGATCCTTCTTGTTTGTGGTCCCAAAGTCCTAACCTGGCCACACACAGCTCGCTGGGACCACAGCTCCTTTACGAGGCAAGGAAGGTACCAGGGCACGGCCATCGGGGCACCTCCAGGCCTTCGCCGTGCCACAGGGCTCCAGGCACTGTCACAGTGTCCCCTGCAGGTCCCCACAGGGACAGGGACAGCCCCAGCACTGTCACCTCCATCGCCCTGCGGAGGAGCAGGAGGGGACAAGGGCTGGGACAGCAGCAGGGCTGCGGTGTCCCCAGGGGCCCGGTGCCAGCTCGCAGCCCCAGCGCACACAGGCACATTCAGAAAGTGCCTCCGGGGCCCAGAAATGGAAGGCACTCAGTGCTATATTTAGCCTCCTGCTTATGGAAATACATCATTTGGTTTCATAATGGGTTTTGCAGCCTGGTCGATGTGTGGCATTTCCAGAAGGTGTCCGGGGCTCTGCAGCCCCCAGCACAGCGCTCCCAGACCACGCTTCTCCTGCCTCCGTGCCTTCAGCATCCTCAGGAAATTGCCCAGCATTATTAAACAACCTTGTCCTGACCCAGCCACTCGATTCCCAGGCAACAGTGGCCACACGCAGCAGGCATCTTAACAAATAATTGTGCTTCCCCTCAATGCTGCCTCCATCACTGCTTGGAGACCCCCAGCCCTGCGCCCCCACCTCCAAGCAGGAGCCCCAGCCCCCAGCACTGTCGGCTGCAGCCCACGCTCCCCATCTGAAATTCAATTAAAGCAAACATTATTTCGCTGTCACCCAGTCAGAAAGGATTACAACACATTGCACACTGGATGCAGTTGGAGGCAAAACAATTCCCGTCAAGAGGGAGGGTCTCCCCGGGCGCTCGCTCCAAGTGGCACCAGTTTATGGGAGCTTTCACATCGGTGTTTAGCTTAAACCCAGCACATTATTTAAATAATGGGCTAAATGGCACTGCTTAGCCTCTGAGGCCTCCAGAAGTTCAGCAGAAGGTAGAGGCTCCCGGCGGGCAGAGGAGACCCAGCTGGTGGCTGGTGCTCAGCCTCCTGCATCCCCGACCAGGGCACGGCACCAGGGGACAGAGCTGGAGCAGCACCAGCTCCTCCTCCTGCCCTCCAGCACAAAGCTCCGCTTCGCTCTCTAATTTCCACAAAAACGATAAGTTTAATTTGAAAGGGCATAATTCTTAATTTATGTGTTGTCATGAACAAAGGCGGCAGAAGTAGGTCACTCCATTATCTACTGCCGGAGCCTTTTGCCAAGGAGCCAACACAAAGCTAAACAAAATCATCACCCAAGGTTCTGGATTCGTTTGGAAGAAAATATTACAGTTATTTTTCTCCTTGCGTGATTTGCACATCTTGGATTGCAGAGCATATTTAGTTTGGCTTTATAGCACGCATTTATTGTGACTGTCATATTCAATAATGCTGCCTATAGTCAAAGAGCAGTCTTTCATGGATACAGCGTCTCAATTTATAATTCAGTATCACAGCTTTGAGAACTCGCACAATAAGTCAGCCAACAACAAAAAAGCCTAAAATGCCTCTATGCAAATAAACACGTCAGGATGAGCGAGCACCTTCCTGCGAGGGGCTGCCAGCCTCCTGCCTGGCCCCGCGCCTCCCCAGCCAGCCGAGATGCTCTGAGGGTGGAGGAGCTCAGCCCGCAGGAGCTGTACCTGGCTGCTGGGCTCCGATAGGGTTTGGGGAGGTGCTGCTGAGGCAAGGAGAGCAGCACCTCCTTAACGAGCCCTCACGTGTGGGCTCAGCACTCCACAAAGCCTCTCACCACCTCTGAGAGCACCCGGGAGAACCTGGCCACCCCAAGTCCCCACTGAGGCTTGGCTTCTCCCCAACAAAGCTAGAAGACCACTGGCACCCAAGCAACCATCCCAACTAAAGCCACGCTGGGGTCCTACCTTCCTCCAGGGCCGCTTTCTGCTGCTCCAGCTCACTGACTGCTCTCCTGGGCACTGCCACCCCTGTGGGGCAGCCCAGCTCCCCCTGCCCCCAGCAGCCAGCTGAGGCTGAGAAAAGTGAGGAGGGAAGAGCTGGAGCTCTTACGGAGCTGGGGGCCCCAGGTGAGGCCAGTCAGGACAATTAAAACCAGTAAGGCAGCTGCTTTCTGCTAAGTTTTCGTGCTGAGGGTAGGGCTGTTGTACACCTGTAGGTGCTGTGGGTAGGAGAGAGGCTGGTGGCTCCTGTCCTTGGGAGATGAAGGAGATTTAGCAGGAGTTATCAGCCCTGCTGTTATTGTACCAGCACCTTCTGGTGTGTTTGAGGTGGCTGTAGTAGCTGGAAGGGCTGTGTCCCAGCTGCGCCCAGCACCACCAGAGCAGCCTTACTGGGGGCCCACAGAGCGCAGTAACCAGGAGCAGGGAGCACCCCAGGGTGGGCTGGAGGTTGGGAGCACGCCCAGCTCTGCTCACAAACAAGAGGAGAAGTTCTTTGAGTGCATGGAGGATTGCTGCCGTAGCTTGATGCTATAGCTGGATGCCTCCTGCTATGGCCGAGCCATAATTCTGCTGCATGCTGTGTCCTGCACTGCGACGTTTCCTCCTCCAGAGCTTGTGTTCTCAGCCCTTGGCTCTGGGGGAAAGGCTCCTGGCGATGCTGCAGCTCTGAGCTCACGGTGTGGGGCTGTTCTCTGAACATCCCGCAGTGACTGAGGTTGGCCAGCCTTCTGCTGGATCCTGAGCAGTGCTGAGCACTTGTGTTTTCCCTAGCAGATGGACCCAGCTATAGAAATTAAGGCTGAACAGTTTTCCTTTTGCCCGCTGACTTATAAAACCCGTTTGCATAAGGGTGAGGGAGCAAAGGTGGGGAACATCTTTATCTGCTAATGATCCTGTGAATTATACATGCTTAGTATTCATGCATCTGAAGAAGAGGCAAACACAGCCATTTTCTGTGGAGTGACCTTTACCAGCAGCCAATACATTTACATTTAATTTAGAATTACAATTATTAGGTCAACTTGGGAGCAAGTGGAACTTACAGTTATTGAGAGGGGAGAAAAATTGGTCTTGCTGCCTTCAGCTGGTGAAAAGCTGCTTTTTCTCTTAAAACGCACTTGAACACAGCCTGCAGCAGTGTCCCAGGTGCATTTGAGCGGCGTTGTTTGGGCATTTGGGCTGGATGAGTTCCTGCTCGATGGGGCCTCTGGCTTTGATGCAGCACGGCTGGAGCCAACAGCAGGCTTTGCCTGGCTTCCTTGGTGCCCACCAAGGGGCTTCCCAGCCAGCGTGCTGCATACAGCCTCAGCAAAAACACCACGGCTGCATTTGGGATGCTACCAAGAAGTTCACCTGGAGTTTATGAGGGTAACCCCTGTGATGGGTTTGGAGACGGCTGTAACAATTTGTGAGCGCTGCGCCCAGACCAGGTTATGGCAGCGGCTGCTCTGTGCTGAGCCGAGCCTCAGGAGGTGCCACCAGCCCCAGGTGGCTCAGGGCCACATGTCCCACCAGCGGCTGGCTTCAGCTTGGGGCAAAACATCCGGGCCTGCAAAGCCCCTCGAGTGGGCTTGCCTCGTGCGCCCCCAGCCCATCGGTAACGCAGCACCCTGCGATCCCAAACGCGCGGGCAGGAAGAATCGTTCTTCAGCCGATATTGAACGCACGCCTACAAGTCACAAAGCCTGCCTCTTGCTTTCCTTCCTGAGCTCTGCGACCTGCCAGTGGGATGTGTTGTGCTACAGGTCGGCGGTCACAAAGCACCGCCTGCGCTAACGAGCAATTTCTCATTGAAACCACCACGGGTGGGAGCACGAGAGCATCCCCAGCCCCTTCGCCTCCCGTGGCTCTGGGCTTGATGCTGCTTAACTCAGCACAGACCAGTGCTCAGGGGCTTCTCTAAGCTCTGCAGATGTTTGCAGAGCTCAACAGGCTGCAAAGCAACATCCCGGCCCCACAGCCAGCAGGGAGGCGCAGCCTGTCCCGAAATGCTTGGTGCAGCCTTGTGGGAGTGGTGGCACCGCTCTGCGCCGTGTGCCATCAAAAGCGTGGTGTGGAAACAGAACCTGTGGTGTGACTGAAATGGTAGAGGGCTCTGCTAAAAAATAAAAAAGTGATATTTATCTGCATGCATGTGGATGGATGGGGACTGTTACCCAGCTGCTCCCTCGTTGCTGTGGGAAGCAGGGGGTGTCGCGATGCCGCGGTTTCGGCAGGCGAGCTCCTGCTGGCTGCCTGCAGCTCCGGGCAGTGCCCGTGTCTTTGAGTGTGTCTGGGACTCCAGGCTGAGCCTTTTGGGAGCAATCTTAGATGAGGAGCTGAATGTGTCATTTGGGAGAGCAGATTATAAGAGGAACAGAAGCTATTTGCACTGCTCACTCAGCTCCAAGCACAGACTGGGTGCACATCTCCGCCCAGCTCTTGCTTTTGGAGAGCAGCAAATTTGGGCACGTCTGCAAGCAGAGAAGGGGCTGGAACTGGCCAGGGGCTGTCTGGAGGGACAGTAGCCCCCCATGGGGATGGCTCCTTGGCAGGAGCAGCCCAAGCTGTGTGGGAGCTGAGGGACAGAACCGTCAGAAGCAGGGGCAGGGGGCTGAGAGTAGCACGCTGCTGTTTAACCAGCCTGCCTGACAAAGATGCTCTCCTTAAATCCATTTTTGGAATTTCATGTTAAAGCTGATCACTGCTCTGGGAAAGGTTATTGAAGCTGTTTGGACATAATAAGCACATTAAAAATCCATGTTTACTCCTGAAATTGTCTCGGTGGCGCTGAACATCCCCGGAGCGATGAGTGCTGCTCCGCACGCCCGGCAGCTTCCAGTGGAAAAAGCTTATTTTAAATTAAGGGACTCAAACTCGCTCCATTAACCCTCGTGCACCACAGATCTCCCACCACCTCTCCGTCCTCATGGGTGTTCATGTGGGGCTTGGTGCAGGAGGTGCCCCCAGAGAGGTCTCCAAGGGCTGTGTGCTGTCTGACCTCAAGGGGCTTCTTCATAATAAACTCCAGTTGCAAAGAAACGCAGCGAAATGGAGAAATGCCAAAATTTGAGTGCTTCTCAAAGATCGCGTTTATTTTCCTGGCTCCCTGCTGAGGCACCAAGGTATTTTTGTCTCTGTTCTGCAAGTGGGGAATTGAGGCAGGGCAGCGAAGGGAGGAAACATCCTCTGCTCTTGCACCGCCTTTGTGCGAGGATGTGGCACTGGGGCCAGCACCCCTGCGAGCATCCCTGCCTGCACCCCTTGGGGCTCTCTGCAGCCTCATCTTCACCCCATGCCATGGGTTTTGCAGAGGCAGGGAGGGCAACCTTTGTGTGTGCATGCACGGGGCCTCACACAGAGCAACTGGTACCAGCCCAGGCTGCAGCAGCAGCTTTCTGCTCTCCTCCTGCTCCCTGCGATTGCCTTCACGCTTGCTGAAGCTTTGCAAGGGATCCTGCTGCTCCCCAGGCTAATGGCACAGTGTGGGAAAGAGAGGATCTTTTTACCATCTGCGTCCAGCCACCATTGCAGGTGGCATGGAAGCAGGGCAAGACTCAGAGCGTGACTCCACAGCAGGGCTTGGTTGGGCTTCAGGAGCTGGCAGGGAAAAGTGGCATTTTGTGGAGCCTGCACGCAGCAAAGCTGCAGCGGGGAGCAGCAGGGGATCGTGCACTGGGGATCAGTCAAGGCACTATGCAAAAATGATGAATTTTGAGGGTTTGGGGCACCGCCAAAGGCCCTGGGACCCCATGGATACATCGCTGCTCCCGGTGTTTCCCACTTTGGGCATGGATTCAGCCCCCTCTTCCAGCAGGGATGCCAAAACCTTGATTTTTGCCTTTTTTTTTTTTTTTTTCCACAGTTATGGGAAGGCCCCCAGGTGTGGAAAAGGACTTTTAAAAGGAAATAGGACTGAGCAGGACAGCGAGGCATGCAAGCGGCAGGTGCCTGCCCAGAGCATCGCCTTGTCTCCAGCAGAGACGCTGCGAGGGCAGGCAATTAGAGCAGAGGAAACGTGATTAAATGCCCCTCTCCTCTGGATTAAATAAAGGAGGGCTCGGGGCAGATTTCCGCTGAAAATTAATAGGAGACAGAGCACAAGCGAGCACAAGGAGTGCTTTATTTCAGGTCAGCCCTTCCCAGAGGTTGTACCGCTGTGCCTGCCAGAGCCGCAGCTCCAGACGTGAGGGGTTAAGGCGAGGGGCTGCTCCCCAGCCCCCATTTGGGCAGCCCCCCGACGGTTCTTGGGGGCCAAGGACCAGCCTGGATGGGTAGTGGCAGAAGTGCATTTTTCTCCTGAGTTTGCAGCAGATTTTTCCAACCTTTTCCCAGGAGAGATTTCATCTCTGGTTCAAAAATGTAATTTATAGTCAAGAAAAAATCCACTGTGCTTTCAGGCAGGATTTTTTTCCCCCTGCTCAGCCCACGAGTGTCATGGGTGACTTTGTGGCATCTCCTCGTGGCACCGTGACCAACCCACTCCCAAGGGCACGGAGTGTGCTGCCGCGAGGGCAGCGTTGGTGTGAACCCTTCCCCCTTTGCCCGATGGGCTGTTGGCCTCGTATCTGGAGACCACCGGCTTGTTGGGAAACTACATGAATTATTTTTGTGCTGCGTTCAGGCTGATAGGAGGGGGTTGGTTAGCCAACAGAGGTCGTTAAGGATGTGAGTCTGCCCTTCACAACAAACCACCAGGCGCTGGGTGAAAGATAAGGATGATGGAGCCCCCCTGGCTGGAGGAGAGCTGTGGGCTCACCAGGCCCAGACGCCCCCAACCGACCGTGTGCCCCCACTGAGCCGTGTCCCCAAGCACCACGTCCACAGGTCCCTTACACACCCCCGGGGTGGGGACCCCCCCAGTGCCCCGGGCAGCCCGTCCCAGTGCTCGGCCACCCTCTGCGGGACCAAATCCTGCCTGAGGCCTGCTCTGGGCCTCCCCTGGTGCAAGTTGGTGCCATTTCTTGGGAAGGAGTTCCAAAACCAGCTTGTTTTAAGCATGTGACAGGAATTGCCTACAGTGGTGTTGGGGTCCCCTGAGGTGGGTTTGGGACCCAAAGTGGGCCGGGGGCACGGGGTTGCCGCAGCATTTGCCCCCGTTGGCTCCCTCATGGAGCTGTCTCCTGCAATGCTTACGGCAGCA